TCTCAAAAAAAAAAAAAAAAAAAAAAAAGGCGGTGCCCATAGCTCAGTGAGTAGGGCTCAGGCCCCATATACAGAGGGTGGTGGGTTCAAACCTGGCCCCGGCCAAACTGCAACAAAAAAATAGCCAGGTGTTGTGGTGGGTGCCTGTAGTCCCAGCTACTTGGGAGGCTGAGGCAAGAGAATCACATAAGCCCAAGAGCTGGAGGTTGCTGTGCTATGAGCTGGGATGCCACAGCACTCTTCTGAGGGTGACAAAATGAGACTCTGTCTTTAAAAAAAAAAAATTGCAATACTCAAATCACATTTGACTTCTGCAATTACACGAGATGCTCAAACACTTATATTCATCTTTTGTTGTCAGTATATATTGAGAATTACAATTTTAATACAGGTTTTTATTTCTTAAACTGTGTATGCATTTTTTACACCCTCTGTGATTATTGTTTCCATTGTTTCCATTGCACTCAAGTTAGGCCATTTGTGGAAATTTTTTTTTTTTTTTTGGAGACAGAGTTTCACTTTTACCTTCAGTAAAGTACTGTGTTATCACAGCTCACAGCAACCTCCAACTCCTGGGCTTAGGCGATTCTCTTGCCTCAGCCTCCCGAATAGCTAGGACTATAGGCGCCCACCACAATGCCCAGAATTTTTTTGTTGCAGTTTGGCCACGTTCAAACCCACCAGCCTCGGTATATGGGGCCGGTGCCCTCCCCAATGAGCCACAGGCACCGCCCCATTTGTGGAAATTTTAATAGAGATTATATTTGAAAAGATATGGGCAGAGTACACATATAGGAAAGTCAAATGTAAAGAATATAGATTTATGGCAGTAAGTGCTTGAAAATCAAGAAAGCATTTTTCAGGAATGTTGCCAAAAGCATACGTATTCTACTGTACTTTTCCATACTTCAACGGGATCTTTCTTAGCTTTAAACAATGACTTTAAAATGTCATCTACTGAGAGCTCAATCAATACCATCTGTAGTTCTTTAAGTGCCTTGGTGATATCAACTAGGTGAGCCTAAAATGCTAATTTGAGTGTGATGTCATGATTCTCAAAGTCAGTGAACCTTTCCCTGTATTCTCCAGTTACTAGGTCTATAATAGCTGTGTCTTATAAAATGATTTGCATGTATCATCCTACTTATCGATCGCCTTTGCTAACTGGGGGAAAAGCTCATCGAAAATTTCCTCTCGGCTCGGCGCCTATAGCTCAGCC